CCAATTATGGAGCATTCCTAACCTAGCTGGAAGGAGTGCAGTCAGGGAGGGCTTCCTGGGGGAGTATCTGATGTCAGCCCTTCTCCTGTGGCTAATGGGGAGCCACAGACAGGCCTGGAGCAAGGGAATGCTTTGCATTCACACAGATCAACCTGTACACCCTAAAAGTTGTGGAGTATATGGGTCACCACCCTCTCCCTTTCCCTCCCGATCCTTTTTTAGCTTAATTTTTAGTGTTTAGCTTAATTTTTAGTGTTTCAGTCCATCCCCACTTTTTAAAAAGTACACGTTCTTGATATTTTCAAACATACTCAGTAGAGAGAAGAGTGTGATACCCTTGTACCCAGTAGATGAAACTACCTCTAAAACTGTGGAGGGACACAGAACTGCCCTATTTTAATTCTATCAAGTAATCATTTTCTTAAATGGTGGTATTCTGTCATTTATTATTTATTTATTCTTATGTGGTGCTGAGGATTGAATCCAGTGCCTCACACACACTAGGCAAGCGCTCTACCACAGAAGTCCTGCCCCAGCCCCTAGCAAGTAATAATTTTAAAACAAACTAAAAAATCCCATGATTTCATAAAAGGACATTTTAACTCAGACATACATACACTCAGGAAAGATGAGCTCTGAATAAAGACTTTAAATTGAGGAAGTTTAATTTGAAGAAAAAGATACTACCTTGTCTTCCCTTTTGTTCTGTTGCCAGGGCACAGTCGCCCCTGGACTGGCACAGATCCGCCAGCTGGAATGGGGCCTCCTAGCAGAGGACATGCTCCCGAAGGGCTTGGGCAGTGTCCAGGAGCTGCCGTCCAGCCTGGTGCTGGGTTAGGTCAAGGGCTGCTGAGGCTGGAGGGGAGCCAAGCCCGCTGAGGGGTGGACCCACTTTGGCATGGGAATTGAAGCCCTCTGTTTCTCTTTGTTTCTTGTCAGTGCAACAAGTTCAGCCTGGGCTAGGGGGAGGCACCTTCCTCCCCACAAAGGATCGCTGAGAGCCCAGTGTTGGGAGCAAGGGGAATTCTGGGTGTCTTCCTGGCTGCCAGCAGCATGCTTCTGCAGGAAGAAAGAGAAGAGGACATCGGGTGGAGAGAGGCAGAGGCTTGGGACTTGGGAGAGCACCAGAGAGGAGCCCGCGGGGGGCTTCAGGGTGGGTCTCTGAGGTGTGGTTCAGTCCAAGGCCGAGAAGAGCCGACTGAGTACCCCTGAGGAGGAGCCTGAGTGGTACCCAAGCCCGGCTCCCAGACAGGTGACCTGCTTGGCCGTTGAAGTGCCCAAGCCCTGGCCGTGAGGATTCTATCCCCTGCCTCCTTGTGGCCCAGGGGCAGAAGCAGGGCGGGCAGGGAGCCCCCACCGCTCCTGGGGAGAGGGCTGGAGGGGGCTGAGCTGAGCAGATGGTCCACTCTGACAGGTTGACTGGAAAGGAGCTGATGACACAAGGGAGATCCCACAGGGCCAGGGAGGGGTGATGGGGACTTGGGGAGCGGTGGCTGTCACTGCAGGGGTGAGTGGAGGGAGGGAGGGAGGAGGCCAGATGGCCACATTGAGTAGCAGTTAGTAATGTTTACTGGATAAAGGAACAATTCAGAGAATGAATGAGAATAATCCTAGCTTTGCTTCTGGTTTCCCAAGCCTGTGTTCCCTCAACTATGGATAGGGGACACCATCTAGCTCGCTAGCTGCCTTGAAGGTAAATAAGCCCAGTTAACTTCGCCCCTCATTTAAGACACATCTCGGGAAGCCCTGTCGGCCATCCTCTGAACACCACGTCCCCGGGGCTCCAGGGTGTCTTTCTCTGTGCTGTCCTGACAGCTTTGCAGACTGCCCTGTCACTGGGGCTGAGGGCTGTCAAGGAGGGACCTCACCTGCTAATCTAGGCCTCCCAGCAGGTCAGAGCTCAGGTGCAGGACTCTGCCTGCAGGAAGTGCCTGCCGAAGGCTGACAGATTGACATGGCAGGCAGTGAGCGGACAGTTCCTTCCCTCCCCCAGCTGACTACACGGGTAGGAAAGGAATGGACAGCCTCTGGCCACAGAAGGCACCCCTAGCCATGCAGCGGGTCTGTTGGGGGTATGGGGTAACCACCCAGTGCCAGGGGAGGGCAGAGAGGGCTGCAACGTGACTCAACCTTCAGCCCATGCAGGTGGCCAGGAGTCCGCAGCTCGGGCTGCTCCTCCCTGGCAGGCTTTCAGCCGAGCTGGCGGGCAGAAAAAACCCAGAGTGCTTCTAGGAGACCCCATGAAGCAGTCCCCTGCTGCTGAGTCAGCAGACACCTCTGCTGGGCTGTTCAGGTTGGAACTTAGGCCTCAATGAGCACCTCAGGGCACCTCGCCCACCCTAGAAGACCAGCAGTCCTGATGTTTAGGGGCCTGAATCCTGCAGGCCACTGGCATGTGGCAGGAGACTGGACTTAGACCTAGGAACTCTGGTACCCCTTTGGCTCTGCCAGTCCATCAGCTGAGTTTTAACAGGTCACAGCCTGGCTTTACCAAGGAGCTGCTACCAGCCTCCACTGGGGAGGGAGGCGCAGGCTGTCTCACCCAACCCCTCTGAGAGGAGGAAGCCAGGCACAGGTGCAGCAGGCCCCAGGCAGATCCAACCTCTCCAATCTGCAAAGGGACCTTGGGTGTGGGTCCCCACCCTCCAGGCCCAGCTCTGACTCAGAGGCTGCACCATCAGGTCACCCTGCCTATTACTGCAGGATAACCATCGCCTCAGGGGACTCCTGGTAACTGGGGGCAGGGAACAACTCACCAAAGGTCTGTCCCAGGAAGTCAGGAGCTGGCAGGCTCGTTGCTCTGCTGTTGCCCAGCCTCTCCCCTGGAGGGGCAGCCACCCCACACCCGCAGTGTGCCTAGGAGTCCTCATCATGGAGGCCAAGCTGCAGCTGGTCCTGCTCACACCTCCCCTCACTTGGCAGTGTCGCTTCATCTGCACGTCGAGCCCCCTGGGCATAGGTTGAGAGTTCAAGTTCAGGCTCCTGTTGGAGAACTAGGGGACTCACTGGGCCCCTCTCCCAGATCCTGGTGACTGGGCTTTTCAGTGGAGCTGTACCCAGCACTAGGTATGGTCCTTTCCTGACCTCCTGGGTGTTCTGGTTGAGGTCACTCCCTCCCTCATCTCCAGAGTAGGTTGTTCCTGCTGGCCCTTGAGCACCGGAACAGCCTCCTCACCTCACTCAGTGGAACTAGATTATTTCTCCACCTCCCTCTATAGACTGGGGACTTCCCAGGGGCAGGGACTGAACCTCACCCCGTTTCCTCTAGCACCAGCCAGAAGGGCACACACAGACCTCAGACTTTCTTTGCTGACTGCCTCTGGGAACAGGGGCTCCCACCTCACACAGGGTAAAGCTGGAAGTTCCCGTCTAGTGGGATCCACAGGGGCGGGGGGTCAGTAGGGGCACCCCATCACAGTGAGCAGCCCTGGGCCAGCTCACAAGAAGTCAGAGGGTAGCTAGCATGGGCAGCATACAGCCCAAAGTCCCTGTGCAAAATGGAAATGTAGCCCTGGCACAGTGGCATACACCTATAATCAAGGTACTCAGAGGCTGAGGCGAGAGGAGTTCAAGGCTAGCCTGGGCACCCCAGTAAAACCCTGTCTCAAAAATGGCAAGGTATGTAGCCCAGGGCACTAGGCTAGCGCGTGTGGAGTCCTGGGTTCCATCCCCAGCACCGCAGGAAAGAAAACCGAGGACAGCAAAAGCAGAGCAGATCAGGCTTCCGGACCACAGACCAGTCCACGGAGCCAGCTCCGCCTGTGGCCAGGCGCCTCCAGTCTTTGCCTAAGGCCTCCAACCTTCCCTTGGGGACCTGACAGTGGGACACCCATACACAGGAAGGCAAGCACAAGGGCCGTCCATAGGTCAGGGTTTGCTCCAGGGAGACACAACTCAAAACACACAGGGCACAAAAGAATGGCAGTTACATTAAAAAAAAAGTTAAGTTTATAAATATTTTCTCCACTGTACAAAGTTTCCCCAGCCCTGCCCACCCCCATCACTGTTCACATTTCTCATGTTTTAAAATCCCAATTATATTTATTTTTTAAATCATAAAATATATTTTTTCTTTGTTCATATTTAAAAATATTTACAGGGGCACAGAGAGGCTGGGGTGGGCCAGCCGAGGTCAGGATGAGTCCGTGCAGGGGGACGGAGGGGGCGGGAAGAGGTGGCAGTAACTCCGCTCGGTGACGGGCGAGGGAGGGCAGCTGTCCTCCGCCGACAGGTACTGGCTGTGGGGCGTGGGTGGGGGCGGGTAGGGGTCTGAGTCCGAGTTCAAATCCAGGTAGTACTTGCTGGCCTTCCAGCGGCTGGTGCTGTAGTCGCTGTCACACACGTCCGTGCTGCAGGGTGTCGCTGGGGGCGCCATGCCTCGAATGATGTAGGGCCTAAAGCAGACAGAGAGGAGGAGGCTCGTGTACAGGGCCCTGGTGTGGCTTATCTGTTCGCAAGTGTTGGAAGAGGCAGGCCTGACTCAGGATCCAGCCCAGCTGTGTGGCCTGGGCACGTCTCCCACCCTCTCCAACCTACCCACAGTCCAGCCCAGGGAAGGAACCAGGAACCAGGCCCAGGCAGGGCTGCCTTAAACAGGGAAGGCAG